CTGACATGAAATAAAATGAGAGACTGTGCCTTTCCTTAAATAATACCAGATTAGTCAACGGTTACAGGAAATGATTAAAAACAAAAGTACTTTTTAGCTTGAAGCCTACTTTCTGAATTAACAGTATCTATCTTGAACGAATGAGATTTGGGATTCTGCTGTTACCAACAAATACTCAGCACACCCTCCAAGGGCAAAGAATCAGTGTTCCTTTTGTTCACTTTTTTCAAAACATTCTGTGGCAATGATTTTGCAGAATATGCTGAAAAGTCCACACATCAACAGATTATTTAGCCAAAAGCAAGCTCTGAGCATTTAAACCTCAAGGTCTGATGTGATGGGAAGGATGGCGGTGAGAAGACAGTGACTACATACTTCCTCAAGAGGAATGACAATTGCAAAAGTAAACACTCACAAGAAACCCTCCGGTTCCCAGGTTCCTCGTGAGCGTCAAGCCAAGGCTCATGTTGGTTTTCATCTCAGTAACATTCGGAATGCTGGTGGAAGCTTTCAAAGGGAGAAAGATTTTAAAAAGTGATTAATTCTTCACCCTTTACTTAAAGTTGTTAAAGAAAAACAAGCAGGCACACCCATGTATTCATGTAGCATTGCATTTAGTATCACATATACAGGTGCTTGAGTTAGATGATGAAGTGTAGGTAAATGAGGTGTCTCAGTGACCTGGCAGCTCACTTGCACGTGTGAGGCTGCAGAGTGTGAGACATTACGGTGTGGGCTCTGGAGAGGACGTGACCTATGGATATTTAAATTTAATTTTTTTACAATGTTCTGGCCAAAGGAAACATCTAAGGACACCATTTGTTCCCCTGCCTCCTCTGCTCTTTCCAAAGTCACGTTGGCTCTATCTAATGCTTTTTTTCCTGGATTGGTAAAAATATCCTTAAAGAGTTATCAAAGAAGGCCCTATGATAGAATCTGACTCAAAGCAATAGTGGGTGAATTTTAAAAGGGAATCAGGAGATTAGCTGTGTAAAATAAGTAAATGTCTCCATCTCCTCTC